GTCCTCTCCTTCTGGCACTGTCGACTGTAATCGACTCTACCCTCCTGACCGCATCCGACGGTAGTCGCCTAAGGACATGCCCAAACCACCGTAGTCTTCCCTCTCTCAATTTTTCGGATACAGGCACCACCCCCAAGGACATCCTAATAGCAGAGTTTGGTGTCATGTCCCACAGAGTCTTATCACATGTCCATCGAAACATTCTCATTTCTGCAGCCTCCATCCTCCTTACATGATCCTTCTTGATTGCCCAACATTCTGATCCATACAGCAGCGCTGGTCTTATTGCTATTCTATAAAATTTTTCCTTAAGCTTTAGAGGCACCTTCTTGTCACACAAAACTCCAGTAGCTGCCCTCCACTTTAGCCATCCCGCCTTTATACGGTGTGTAACATCATAATCTATACCCCATCTTTATGTATCATAGACCCTAGGTACTTGAAACAATCATTTGAGAGGAGAACGTGTCCTTCTATGCATACTTCTAACTCACACACATAAAAAAAATATTTTTTTTCCTTATTTTTTAATAAACAATTGAAGTTCGGTTTAGAAAATGAAATAATATCCATAGAGCTGTTTCCGATGCATGTTATTTTTTCATGTTAATTATTGTCCAAATCTATCTTTGTTGTACTACTTAAATTCCCTTGGTATGATTAATCCATGATTTTGTAGGTTATCAAAATCTTTAATCTTTAAGTAGAATTACAATGCAACTAAATGTATGCGTTTGATCTTCCAAAAGAGCATCGCTTTAAAGGATTAGTTCCCCTAAACTTGAAAACTCCAAAATCTTATTACATTGATTCGTGATTGATGAACCTCAGCCACATGGTGAAATTAGTAGCATTTAAGGCAAGTTCATCATTATGGATATCCACAAAATCTACGGACAGTTTAGACAACGTTGTTGTCTCAAAATGATGCCCTGTCACCAAACGGTAAAGATTCACTTTGCTTGCAATATCATTTCATACCATCTTTGGATAAATTTTGTGGTTCAACATCATCAGATGAAAACAAAGAAACATACAAGAGAGGTTCAAAACGCTTTCTGCTATCTTTCCGGGAGCTATTTATGTTCAGATTTTATCTTTGTTTAAATCGAACTCATTTAGTGGTACTATGATTTAGCTCTAGTATATATATATTTTTTTATAGAGATTTAGCTCTAGTATTTTGATTATCAATTCATTTGCTTTTTGTATATTATAGTAATTTATTCTAATCATAGTTATGCAGTAAGATTCGAACTCAAGGTATGACATGTAGAAGATAATTATAAACCCAGAATTTGAAAGGAAAAAAAAAAAACGAAGATGGGAGTTTAAAAAATATTGGATTAAGTTCATAACCAAATTAAATACAGACATGATGAACCAATATGAAGGCCAAAAATACATACATAAAACCAAACACACTGTAACTGATTTCTTTTTTTATTCCAAAAGAAAGTAACTTAAATTACTTAGAAGAATGAATGTCCAAATCCAGGAGGACAAGGATTGTATCCTTCGGGATTGAGGTTGAAAGTGAATCCTGGAGGTATCATATTGGGAGGAGGAGGATTGTATCCCTGAGGCATCATGTTCACGTCCATTTCAATGTTATCGGGAAACACCCCGGCGGCGGCGCTCGAACTCCCCATGAACAACTGCTGGGAGTTGGTAGTCTGAATCAGAAGCTTTTCCACTTGCTTTGCAACGTTCTTTTTCAACTCTTCCAACGCCGATTTCAGCTGCTGGAGTTGCGGCAGGCTAAGTTCCTCGACCGGCGCCTCCCACCAGTACTGCCCTTGGCGCGCCCTTCGCATGTGGTTGAGCTCCTCGCCGCGCCTTTTCTCGACTTCGATTTGGCTAGTCAACTGAAACAGAAAAAAAACGACTATTAATCAAATCAACAATCAAACAAAACAAAACAAATAAAATAAAAGTAGTATCGGGTTTATAATCAAACCTCAGTGAGTTGCATGTTGAGTTCACGAGCATGAGCATTTCGATGAGCCTCCATGATATGCAAAGTGCCAGAATTATCCTGAGCTTGAGGGTTGCCGTTGATGTACCGGCCGATAACGTTGCCGATCTCGGGGTGACCAAAGGAGAAAACTTTGTTCCCCGGTGAGAAGACGATGATACCAATCTCAACACCACACAGAGTACAAAGTTCACTGGCCTTTTTGAAAAGACCCGAACGCCGTTTCGAGAAGGTCACTTGGAGATTGCTATTGTTCTTCATCTTCACCATCTCCACCTTCTGACGGCCTAAGCTTTTCTTCCCCATAATCTCCAGAAATTTTCACAGTGAAGGGAATTGCAATTGATGGAGAAGGAGAAGGTTAGTATTTATATGGGGAACAAGATAGGATATTTACACTTTGAGCTGTCCATATTTACTATGTTTTATGTACAATTATTGCTGTCCTTTGCTTTAATTAAATTATATACTATATTTTCTATTTACAAATATGGGAATTAAGTCACCCAAAATTAAAAAAATATATATAATGTAACTCTCCATCGCTGCGTTTAATCACTTTCCCATTTCATCATAATAAAAATCATGTATACAACTCAGAAATTTTCTTGGTCTTAATGTCTTGTGACAAAATATTGTTGTCATGTGTCAATGAGCAGTAGGTAGGCTAGTTGGTAATACGTAATTTAGTTCAAGTAATCCACGTATGTTGAGTCGAATAGTAAAAAGAACTAATATTCCTTAAATAAAATTTCGAAAATATACACCAGTATGATTTATATTTTTATATCGAAAGGCAAACAAAACAGAATCTATTTGAGGATCAGCAACAGCAGCCCGAGGCAAACTCTCTAAGATTTTGGAAGAGCCCTTTGATAAATATGCTGTTGATGAAGTTATGGAGATGAGATTGCAAGTGATTAACATGCAAAATTGGTTTGAGGATGATTCTTGTTGGATCTTAAATGGAATAAGCCCAACAGAGTAGAAGGAAAGATACATTTTCATGAAAGTGCATGGGAATGGGATAACATGCACATAGAGAATTGTTAGACTGATGCATGTAAAGGTGGTTAGTCTGTTAGGTTGATTAGCTAAGTCAGTTAGTTTGTTAGGTGGTTAATGGTTAGCTAAACCATTGTTATAAAAGCAGTGTACTAGCTAATATGAATCAATGCAATTCTTTACTGTGTATATTTTCTGTTATACACACTTCTCAACATGGTATCAATCGCCATAAGTCCTGGAGAAATCGTTTATGCTGTAAGAAGTTTCGGTGTTCATGGTTGCTGCTGATTCACAGTCGCTGCATGGGGTTCGTCCTCCTCTTCATCCGTTACCGCCGGCTTCTGTTTCCATCGCCGCTTAAAATGGAAGGCCGTTGGCGTACGATGACTAAACCGTTTCATGCTGTCAGACAAACGAAGGGGATTCATATAGTGGAAGATACCGCTGCATCACACCAGGGAAATACTGAAAAAGCAAGAATCAGTGAATGGGTTGCTCATGAAAATGCCATATTTGATGTATGATGGATGAAGGATGATAGTTACATTTTAACAACTTCAGGGGATCGAACTAAAAAGGTATGGGATGCTCAGGAAAAGAAATGCAATGGAGTCTTAATGTTGCACACAGGAAGTGTAAAATGTTTGAGTTCTCATTCTACTAATTCTGATCTAGTTGTTTTTGGTTTGAGAGATGGGTCCTTTGCCATTTGGGATCTAAGATGCAAGATCAACTCCCGAATTAGAAGTGATGAAGTTTGCCTTGCACCAACTATTCTGGTCAAAGGAGCTCATCCTTCATCTCAAGCAAGGCGGGGTAGACGTGGCAAGCCTGCTGTTGTAACCATTACTTCAGTTCTTTATCTCAAAGATGACATTTCCATTGCAATGTCTAGAGCTGCAGACAGCGTTGTGAAGTTCTGGGATACAAGGAATCTGAAATCCCATGTCACTCAGGCATGTCCCCAACCAGAGGCTGCATCTAAAAAGGGTATATCTAGCTTGTCCCAGGACTCAAAAGGAGTGTTTCTAACAGCATCATGCATGGACAACATGATATACTTGTATAATATAGTTCAGCTTGATAAGGGCCTAGTGCAAACTTTCTCTGGATGCCAAATAGAGTTTTTTTTATTTATGTGAAGTCAGCAATCAGTCCAGACGCAGACTACATACTAAGTGGTTCCAGCAAAGGAAATGCTCATATTTGGAAGGTGAACAAGCCTCAAGCGGAGCCTATCATCTTGAAGAATCACCATGGTGAACTTACTGCAGTAGATTGGTTCCCATCTAAGATGGGGAATATGGCAAAGCTCGATTATCTCATATCAAGAACGTTTCAATTTAGATGTTACTAGGCGTGTTTTTTTTTCTCGTGATATCTAGCTGTTACTATTCTAAAACATGGGCTTTGTTAGCTCAAACAGGAGTTTGTATGGATTCTACAAAGAATTCTAGGTGGACAACTTTAACTCTTGATTAGAAAAAAAAGTATGTCAAGGAACCTTGTAAAAGAGGGTGAAGAAGGAAGAAATGAAGGTGAATAAGAAGAACGAAAGGAAGCATTAGCACTTTCGATTCAAAGTGAACGGAAGGAAGCATCGACACTTTCGATTCAAGAAGAACGAAAGGAAGCATCGACACTTTCGATTCAAGTGAACGGAAGGAAGCATCCGCACTTTCGATTCAATTGTTCATCTTTTCATCAAGAAGGAAAAGTAGAGGGAATGTTAGGTTGCTGTCAAAAGGAGAAAAAGAAGAGCAGGGGGAATGTTAGACTGATGCATGTAAAGGTGGTTAGTCTGTTAGGTTGATTAGCTAAGTCAGTTAGTTTGTTAGGTGATTAATGGTTAGCTAAACCATTGTTATAAAAGCAGTGTACTAGCTAATATGAATCAATGCAATTCTTTATTGTGTATATTCTCTGTTATACACACTTCTCAACAAGAATTGATTCACAACAGATAATTGGTGCATCAGCAAAATCTAAACATTCTTCTCCCTACTTTGTTTTGTTTCTTCTCTTTACAAGCACCTACATTGAATTAAACTGACCAGACAAGAACACAGACAGTTCAAGCTCTTGACATCAAATTTCCAATAACCCCAGCAGTGAGAGCAGTGGGATCCCCAAGCACAGCAGATATCACAAATTGCAGAGCCAAAACAGCCATCTCACAACATTTCTTTACCTTCCCTTTACTCCTTTTATGAGACGTTTGAAGTGTATTTTTCAAGCTTGGAATTCTTGTCTCCAGTTTCCTAACACATGCAACATGCAAGTTATACTTTTTGCAATCTGACCTGTAACTCCAGCTCCTCCCTTTACGTCCACACCTATGGCATACTGCTATCACTTTCCTGTGCAGATACAGATTCACTTCTCCGTCGTCTAACACCATCGGTAGCTTTGCACAACACGGATGAAAATCAAACCCGCATGATTTGCAATGGTAAATGAAACCGTTTATATCCTTTTCACAGGCATTACAGTAACGAGGGGTGTCACCGGGCGACCTGTAGAAGAACTGAAAGGAACATTTGGTGTAGAAAGGGTGGTAGATCGAAAGAGAAGGTATTGCACAGTGCATGTGGAGATCGAAGTCACAGAAGGAACATCGGTAATGCGAGCCTATGCCGACTTCCTTGCAGCCATCGCACTTGAATGGAACTTCAGTATACTCGAATTTTAGTATGTGTTGGGGGTGGCTGAAATGGGAAATCTCATTGTATTTCATGGCCTTTTTCTTTCCTTTTTTTCTTCTTCTTCTGGTGTGGCCTCTAAAGAAACAATCTGGATGGTGATTTATAATGGTTAGAAAGTTTGCATTTGTTCTTTGTTTTGTGATAAAAGAGATAAATTCAACTGAGATTCTCTGGTAACTATGGTTAGGCTACTAATTAGGGTCATGCAGTTTATGGCTTGCAATTGAAGCCAAGTGAGGAATTATGCTTGGAACTGGTGGCAATGGACCAATGGTGGTAAGTGCTTGTACATAGGAAACCCTGATGTTTAGATAGGAAAGTCCAGACATAAGGCATTTATGTTCATGCCCCATATAAGAATATGAATATATATATATATCAGCAACATTATCAAAGTCTAAGGATCCAAAGAAAAGACAAGAATCTTAGCATCTTTAAAAGATGATTTCAAGACATAAGAAACATTATCAAAGGAAGTGATGTAACATGGTTGAATTGAAGAAACTTAAGAAGGAATGTTTCCATCCTAAGTGGTAAGCTATACATGTAGATGGAATGGGAGATGTAATGCTAAAAGGAATAAAAGCATAGCCATGAGTCTTGAGACATAGTTGAGGAAGATGATTTTGAGGATAATATATTCTTTATTCAATTATTAAGGATGACATATGAGAACAAATTCTCAGTTTTTCAAGGTCAACATATATGCAAATTTCTTTCGGATTAAGTGATTCTATATGCTCCTTAGCTTATAGAAAAAGAATTTATATATTTCCATCTGTATTACTGTATACTCAACATGAGTGCCATAAGTTGTATGATTGGCATCTTGCCTCCATGTTGATGTGGCATTCGATTACATGGAATTTATTCTATACTATGCCATCTTTCCTGCTCAAAAATCAATGTCAATAGTACAGAATATACAAGAAAAAGGAATATAAGCATCAGATATTTATAGAAACCATACAAGAAAACGTCATTATAGTATTGGCATTCTCTTTGGTGAAGTCATCGTCTAAATCCCCAGCCATCTCATTCTCTGCACTTGCAATAATGGAGGAAGTGGCTTTCTTCTTCTTTTATCCACACCAAACGTCATTATAGTATCTGCATTCTCTTTCGTGAAGTCATCGTCTACATCCCCAGCCATCTCATTCTCTGTACTTGCAATAATGGAGGAAGTGGCTTTCTTCTTCTTTTATCCACACCACAGTGTTTCTTAACATTACATCCCTCCTTTCTCTTGCTTGCCATATGTTCATGGCTGCTGAAGATTGTGTCAGAAGTATGGATTACAAACATAACTGCTCTTAAGAATTCCTTGTAGCATCTACAAACTCAGATCTCAACTAAGAAAGACACATCTACAAAAAACTGTCAAACTTGTAAGGTCAAAAGGTTACTTATCCATTGTCTTGTTTAAGGACTCGATTGGATGGGAGGAAAAAGATAGGAACATAATCATCTTTTTAAAAAGTTGAGACTTTTCTTTTTATGAGTATTTCTTATCATTTTCCTTTTCGTTTATAACAATTAACAAATGGATAATATCTTTTACAAAGAGAGTGATAGTATTAAGAAAATTATGTAAAATAATATATAATTTAAATGATGAATAATTTTTTAACATTATATACTAAAAAGATGATTTTTTTCATAATTAAAGTTTTTTAAAGATATTATGTGACATTTGAAACACAAATACTCCTATAATGTTAACTAAGAATTTATAGAAAAATGTTTTTAAATCAACTTTCAATCGAGTTAAATGTCACCTCAAAAGTTTTACATATTTATACAAATTTTAATTTTAATCTTTATATGGATTTCATCATTAAAATTTAAAAGTTTGAATTTTTCACTGAAATTTTGTTATATATTTTATTATCATTGGACTAATAAATCTTTAATGGTTAGTGACATTGTAACACACTAAATCCGATTGAGCTTAAAGTGCAATACTGGGCCGTTAAGGTAACCCTTGAATTTCAAAACATGTTCATTTTTTTTTCAAACGTATTAAATGGTATCATAATAAAACATAAATAACTGTTATAAAAATATTTTATAAAAATCAGAACTTCGTGACTCATAATTTAAAACAAAATAACACATCTTGAAGTTTACTACTCAAATACATAAGTAAGGTCCTATGAATACACATGCCCACTAAAGCTACAGTACAATACTCTGTTGGAGATGTTGGAAACCCTACTGCGGCAGTGCTCCACGAACTGATCAAGCTACAAACCTGCCAACGGAAACATCTGAAGGCTAAGCTTACAAAGCCCAACAATATAATCACTAATCTAGAGCAACATAAGAGTTTAATAAACATAAGCATGCTGGAGACATGATACTAAGCAGTACATGCATGCATGACCTAGATCATGTGCTCCTTACTTAAGACTTTATTGCTCTATCACTGAAGTAGGAGTCTCATGCTTCCCTTAATCCTCTACTAAGGGCCTCGCCATGAGTACACCTGTAAAGGGTCTCTAACCCTAACCACTGAACAATGTTACACATTATCTAAATGTGACACTGATACTCATGTGTATTATCTGAATGCAAACCTGACATGCTATGCATTATCTAAATGCAAATTTAACATATTGTGCATTACCTGAATGCAAATTTGACTAGTATCTAGTCTCACATAGCTCTCAAACACTAGTTACTAAGGAAACCTTGGTGTCACATGGCATCGACTTAATTACCACAAAAATACTGAATGATCTTTTGGTCCTCACATAGCCATCATGTAGATCACTGAGGGGAACTCGGTGTCATGTAGCATTAATACAATTCCCACACAAACTGAAGCACTGGCTTGATCTCACAAGCCTTCAAGCCAAGCTTTAACATACCTGACATACTAATCTGATGGGACTATACATGCATGATTGACACAAGCAGACATGGGATAGGTATGGTGGTGTGGTCGGAGGAATTTACGTGCATCTCAAAGTAATACCCCAACCTATCTTGAATACGAAATAACTTAGAGGTAAGAACCAGAATATACGTGCATCGAAAGCTTACCCAACAGAATTGACTGACATAACTAACCATGCATATCTAAGGCACATAGGCCATATAGTACTAACAGCGCTAACACACTCCTCACAAGTGTTCAGGTCTCGCACCCTAGTTAGCCCCTGAAGTACCTCGTGCACTGGCAATTCCCCACTAGGGAAACTAAGGTAATCCTGGGTATACCTTATTATAGATGGACTCACTAAAGTGAAGTCAACGTCACACTAGTTGTTATCTCGCTTATTCTCTCATCTAGAACTTTATGTGAAGGCTTACTTATTATCTAAGGAATTGGATAGCCCAATATCTGGCTCGGGTCCATTTCTAAGTAGCGATACTTTAATTGATCTTATCACACTTCCCTTCAGAACTTCTTAAACTGAAAATGACAACTTACTTTTCCTGGGTTCATAAACATTTTCGAAGCTCATACTTTTTGCGACCACTGAATCTGACATAATCATCGTACAACTTATTGGATGTCTTCTGAACGATCCTCGGTCCTGACTATTCATATTCATCCTTGTTTGAAGATTCTTTGGCCTATTACACTTAATATGGTTACACTTGATATAACCTGCTCCTACGGGTGTTTCTAGGTATTCTTGATCATTTATATCCCTCACATGCTAATTCTTGCTATTACGAATCGTCTTTAGCTCTTACGGACCTTAAACGGGTCAAATCTGACCATTTAAAGCGAGTAGTATCGATACTCTACTTGTAGTATCGATATCCTAGGGTCAAGTATCGATAACCTATGAGTATCAGTACCAAAAATGCATTTTATCGCGGAATTAGGCCTTAGTATCGATATTGCCACCCTGAGTATCGATACTGCAGGGGTAATATCGATACCCTTCTTGGCAGTATCGATACTCTAGCCCAAAATCCCTAATATTTACCCTAATTTAACCAGTATCGATTTTGTTCATCCCAGTATCGATACTCACCCAGAAATGGTTATTTTAGGCTCGAGAATCACTCAAAAATCATCTTAAATAATTTGGGTTGGTTTATAATCTTATTATGAAGCTTTAGTAAGTTGTTTAGGGACTTAAGGTAGCATAAAAACGTCTTTTTAACTTCTAAAATGTAATTTTATCTTGATATCAAATATAAACCTTAAAATGATTAAATACTCAAATCTTAGAAAATACTTGAAATTTATGAAAGCTTAATACTCCAAAGGATTAGAAATACACTACCTTGATTTTAGAAATCTGAAATAAATCTCCTTTAGCTAGTAAGCACTTTCCTTTTTGAACTTGGATGATTTTCTCCCTTTTTCCTTTATTTACAACATTGCAAGGATTTCCTTAACGTAAGTATGTTATAGGTATCAAGAGGGATAAATTTGAAACTTAGTAAAGTTGAGAAAATGAATCTTACCACCACTTGAGGTTATGGAGACTTGAAGAGGGAAGAAAAAGAGCAAGGAAGAAGATGAAGAGCAGAATGGGACACTCGCGTTCAAAATGAAATAAAACCTCAAATCTTATCTTCAAATTCTAATAATGGTTTAATTACACTTATAGTCCATGGTTTTTTATCTCATGTTTAAAAATCACCTTTTTGTGGCTAATTGGGCCCAAATACAACCCAATTAAACCCAACAACTTAAATCATGAAATCTACGGCGTCCACTTACCTCTCGGATAAACCGAAACTACTAGCCCAAAATTTGAGGTGTTACAAACATATTCTATTATTTTCTCTTTTTTTAAGAAAAATAATCAATCCCTATTATCATCATTATTGATCAAGCATCATATGTTAACGGTCTTCATTTATAATAAGATCCGTATAAAAACAATCATATTTTATTTTTTTCTTATCAAATTGTTTTTTTCCATAAAATTCACTCAAAATCAATCATTTGAGTAGATTTTATGAAAACTCAATCTAATAAGAAAAAAGTATAGGAGTATTTTTTTTTATTAATTTCCTGAGTTTTAAAGAAGTTTTGAAAAAAATCTAAACCAATAAATAGGATAAAAGGATAAAAATAATTTATCAATATCTAAG